CAGTGCTCTTAACCTCTGAGCCATCTCTCCAGCCCCGCAGCTAGAGCTCTTAACCACTGAGCCATCTCTCCAGCTCCTGTATATTGCTACCTATGTGGGTTCTAGAGATCAAATTCAAGTGCTTATGTTTTTGCAGCAAGCACTTTACTGACAGAACTCTCTCTCTAGCCTTCAGAATTCTTCATTTTGCAAAACTTTCTGTATTCTTTAACAGTAACTTCCCTACTCCCTATCTCTCTCCTGTTTGCCCTGAAACAAACATGGTTATGCAACTCTCCAGCAGGTATGTCATCGATCTGAAATTTGATTTTTTTTCCTGTTTAAGTAGAGCACATACTCACACTCACGGACACTTTATTAGTGAGGTCATTGGATCAAGAGCACTTTTATGAAATCATCAGATGTTAGGCAAAGTACAAGAAAACGAGTTTTCAAAATTTCCAAACACAAGTTGTGTGGACACCTTCACGAGTGTTTTTGACTAGAAACATGTCTCGAGATGAGAGGACGCAGCTCTTCTAAAACACTTTCCTCTGCAAGGATCCCTAGCCCTCACACCAGGGGAAGGTGTTGTCAGGTGCTCATATTTCTTTTTTATGCTATCGGAAACTATGTGAAAAGACCTGGACACAAAACATTCACAGAGTCAGTCATTGACTTAGCAGTAACGACCTCTGACATCCATACACCACACTGCAATAGGCATAATGGAAAATGGATCTGGAAAGATGGGGCTCAGTGGTTGAGACTACTTGCTGTTCCTCAGTTAAGTTCCCAGCATCCGCATGTGTGCTTACAACCATCTGTAACAACAGTTTTGGGGATCTGACACCCTCTGTGGGCACCAGGCATATACATGGTTCATTTACATGCATGCAGGCAAAATACTCATACACATAAAATAAAAAACAATAAAATTTGTCTTACATATTCTCAATGAACTCAGTTTGAGTTGAAGGCTCCTCTTGTGTTCTGATTTAGTGATCATAGAGGCCAGGTTTGTCCAACTCCTATAGCTGTACCCTTAACTTCATAAAAAGAATCTGCATTCCTCTCCTTCCATGCAGAACTAAGCCTACAACACCAGCCTCTCCAGAACTTACTTTTGGAGTTCCTTCAGGAAGGGATTTCAGGCCAAGGATGGGACCAATGTGACCCCACTGCTACAGTGTCTGCCTAACATGCATGAAGCCCTGGGTCCCATCCTGAACACGCCATAAACTGGGTATGATGGCACACAATTGTGATCCTGGCATTCAGAAAGTGGAAGCAGGAGGACCAGGAGTTCAAGATCATACTCAGCTACAATGTAAGTGTGAAGCTAGACTGAGTTACATAAGACCTTGTGCCCTGCTCCCTCAAAAAAAAAAAAAAAAAAAAAAAAAAAAGGTTTCTGGTTCTCAGAATTCCTATAGCTGTTGAATCTTTATTCACTTACAGCTCTGCTTTGAATGACAAAATGTTAAGCTTTTTCAAGGTACTGAAACATGTGCTATAACTTCATGGAGAATGAGGATGCTGACACTGACACTGTACCGAAAGTCCTACAGCAATCGCCTCATACATAGAGAGGGCCAACTCTGGCTCATGGTTCTAGAGGTTCCAATTTGCAAATAAGTGCTGTATCACTTTAGGCCTCTGACAAAGAGAGAATATCCTGGCAGGAACTCAGAGTAGAGCAAACTCAGCTTGTGAGTCATAAAGAAAAAGAAAGAGAGAAAAGACAGACTATTAGACACAAGCCTAGGGGCGCCTTATGTTTACCCATAAGCCACAGGTGGTAATAACACTAATCAACAACTAGACACTTCTATCAGATACATACCACCTCTGGCGGTTTGAATGAGAATGGCCCCATAGGCTCATATATTCAAATGCTTGGTCCCCTGTTGGTGGAACCCTTTAAGAAGGATTAGGAGGTGTGGCCTCACTGGAGAAGGTGTGTCACTGGGGGCAGGCTTTGAAATTTCAAAAGCACACATCATTCCTTTGCCTCAGGCTTGTGGATCAAGATGTATGTTTTAGATACTGCTCTAGTGCCTGCCTGCCTGCCATGCTCCCTACCGTGATGGTCATGGATTCACCCTCTGAAACTGTGAGCTTCCAATAATCAATTTTTTTTTTAAATAAATTGCCTTGGTCATGGTGTTTTGTTACAGCAATAGAAAAGTAGCTGAGATACTACCCTAAGATCCAAAGTACTTTCCCAAAGTGTCACCTTGGGGAGCAAGCCTCAATGCAATAGTCTCGGAGCACAGGGGTCCATATGTGCCATATGATGCAGTCATAGTTTGTGTGTCCCCAAGGGTTTAGGTGTTGAAGCTTGATCCTCAGTGTAGTGCCTTGAAAAGTGGTAGAAGCTTTAGGAGGCAGGGCCTAGCAGAAGGTAATTATGTCACTGGGGATTCTGCCCTTCTAAGTAACTGATGTAATTCTTTTTTTTTTTTGAGAAAGCCTTAAGGAACTTTATTGTTGTATATTTGCTTAAAATCATACACAATACATGTAAGTGTATGCCACTTGCTCTGACAATGCTTTCTACAAAACCATAGACTGTAACAAAAATCCTAGTACCAAGAACAAGAAATCTCATTTAACTGATATAATTCTTATGGGACCCTAGTGAATTTTCTTGTGAATAGACTGCTATAAAAGGCAAGGCTGAACCATTCCTGTTCACACTATGACTTCTCATATGTGCATGTGTTCCCTCCATGTACCCTCTACCATGTAACAGAGGTGATACAGTCAAGGAGCCCCTCATCAAAGATGAGCAAAATCTGACACCAAGCCCTGGGACCTCCAGACAAATATATAAATAAATCTCTTCTCACAAATGTTAACCCAGGTTCAGATTTTGTTGTTGCTGTTGTTATAGTAATGGAAAAGAAACTAATGCAGATGGGGTAATGCTGGGGGACCAGCTGCTTCTGTGAGAACTTCAGCTATCTTATCTGGCAACTGTTCGACAAGGCAGACAGGGCTGACCTTAGTGGAAGGATTTCATTCCTAGGGAAGAAGTCCCAACATAATATCAACTCTGAGGTTGTTACTATCTATGGCTTAGGGATAAAAGAAATGAGAGGCAACCCTAGGCTTCAGGGTCTAAAGTTCTGCTGGGGACAGACTTATGAGAAACAAACATAATTCCTTGCAGTTGGGACAAGATGGAGTCACTCTTGTTTAGGTTGGTGCTAACAGTTTTTACCCAGGCCAGCAGGGAACCATGGGACCCACATCTGGTCTCAACTTTTAGTAAGTACTCTTGTGGAGAAGTTCCCATCACAAAGGAAGAAATACAAATATTTGAAAAGCAAACAAGGCATGGGCTGTTCTCAGACCTGCTGCCGTATGCTCTACTTTTTTTTTTTTCCAGCTTCCAGCTTAACGTTAAAATAACAGGCTTGCATTCCTCAAATATCTCCATGTTGCTCCTTGTTCCCACTGCTTGAAGAGGCTGTCAGCTGCTGTCACTCGGCATCACCATGTTGGCCATCATTGTTTATTGCTCACTGTGCAGTGTGTTAGTGGTCTAGGAAGCTCCTCTGGGGTGCTGGTGTGAGCTACTGACACAGGATCCCCATGCTGGAGTGCGGTACCTAATGAGGGGTGTGTGAGTGCATGCACACACAGGCACATGGGGGTTGGAGGTAAGAATCATAGGTGTTTTTAAATACTGACAAGAGAGATCCAATTCAAATGTATCATGCCGTAACTTCACTACTTTGCCAAGATGGACAAAGGACCAAATGCTTTTTAAAGTAATCTAAACACGTTGAGAGTTTACAGGGATAAACATCTTGGGATAAAATCCCAAGAAATACACAGGTGTCACAAGACTGAGATGTGCAAGAAGCAAACTGGAGCAAAGAGCTTTAGTTCACTCTGCAGAAAGCTTAGCCTACAGAAGAAAACTCCAGTCAGAGGTTTCCCAGATTATAAGGAAACAGCTCTAGAAGACAAGTGCCCTTTCCTTGAAGACAAAGAAATGTTTGTAATGGAAATGTGTGAACCAAATTTCCAAGGAGATGAAAAAGCACTGATTAAAAGCACCAGGGGGGAATGAGGCAGGGAGATCAAGCCAAAGCTGACCCATTTATATGCGACTGCTGCACTTCTGAAAGCAGAGAGAAAGCAGGGGCCACCTCCCACATTCCTTCCCTTCTCCCTGAGCTCCCTGACCCCAAGCTGTCCTTCCCTCCCCATTCCCCAGCTCTCTGACCTGTCCCCACCCTGTCACTGGATCTGCAGTTGTGGAGACAATTAGAACCTTCCAGCCAGCGGGGGTGTTTATTTCTGCACTGTGTACTGGTAACTAAGCTCCTCTGAGGATAAAACGGTAACCCAGTAGCCCAGAAGACACTGTTCTCCACAAAGCCGAGCCACCAGGAGTCAATGGATCCCACATCCGTGGACTCAATAAAAATGTGACTCAGAGGACAGATGTGAAGAAGGACAGGCTGGTTCTAGCCTGTGGCCACTTATGATGACGATTCTTACAGTATGTATGCTTATTGATTAACTTATTGAAGGAATTGTATTTCCTAGAGATTAACCTAGGCTCAGAGAGGTAAAGTACCCTGAACCAAGTTACTGGATAATCACCCAGAGCTGGTGAGAGCTCTCAAGGGACACAGGACAAACAGTCTTTAAAGCAACACTTCCTATATTACAGTCACTGGAGTTTAACAGAATATTTGTCACAATACTTAACAATATTTTTCTTGAAAACCATTAAAATATTCATCTACTATCTTGACGAAATCATGTGTACTTCAGGGAACACAGAAGGGAAGAACAGATGAGGGTGACCTGAGCCACCTTAGGGTAGCTAGCGAACAGCTTGTTTTCAAGTACAGGAAGTGAGGGGGGGTGTGGCGGGGAGGCAACAGAGATTCTCTGCGCTCCTTGAAGGTTCATGAAGGTCTCACATAAGGGAGGAGAGTGAAGTTCATTCAATAATTGCAGAGTAAGGGACGATCAATGGTGGGATTACTTACATAAAATTTTCTGGGTATTCACTCAGGGCCATGTCGATGATGTTGAGAGCATCATGGTAATGCTTCTGGGCTGACAACAGGAGAGCGAGGAGGTGCAGGGAGTTGGCGTCATCACCTTGGAGTTGAAGAGCTTGTCGGACATACCCTAGAGCTTCTGGTATCTGGTTTAAAACAAGACCAAAAAGAATGTTTAAACAGTTACACTGAAAGAGGCCATGGTTACATAAGGTTCACGTCGTACTGCTTCCATGTTTTAAGGGGCATCCTCGTGGCAGCCCCAGGACATTGGCCAAACAAGGAGCATACCCTCTTCAGCAGTGATAGGACTGCCGAGGGTGCCGGAGAGACCCCGCCTCTCTACCTAAAGCCCACACGCCTTTCCATCTCTCTAAATAAACACTCATTTCTCTTCCCTGCAGAGCCAGTGTGCGTTTGATTATGATTTCACTGTAAACAGAGACACCGGCAAGCTACCAAGGGTTCTTAATGGGATTAAACTGCCTTAGCTGAACCAGTCTCCCTTTTCATAGTATTTAATACTATGAAAATTTAAATACTTCATAAGCCATGGAACCTTTAACAGAGCTTTCTAAGGACCAGATGTCTTAATCTCCACTGGACATGAAGGAAATATGCAAACAAACAAACAAAATCCCACACCTTACCAAACTACAACCCAAAATAATTGGATGCAAGAAACAAATTACAGGACCACTTGCAAAGTAGACATATCCAAATTCAAGCAGATCCAGACACAACCTTAACCAGGAATGCTTCAGCTGCTCAACATGTTCTTGTGCATGTGGTATATACATGTGTGCTTGCCTGCAGACACACATGTAGAGGCTAAGGGTTGGAACGGGGTGTTTTCTCCAGCACTCTCCACCTTCATTTTCTGAGGTAGACTCTCTCACTGAACCCAGAGCTCCTAGGATCCACCTGTGTTGGCCCCACAGTGCTGTGGTTACAGATATGCTACTGTATCTGGCATGAGTGCCAGGGAGCAGAACCTCACCCTCTGAGTCCCCTCCCCAACCTCAGAAGTGTTCTTTAATGAAGAAAATGAAAGGGGCATGGAGCCCAGGGTTACATGTGCAGTAGGTATTTGAACACATTAGATCTCACAGCTTTAATAGAAAGCAGAAACTGAAGCTGGATTTGAAAACAGCTGGGAACAGAGGCATTCGAACAAACCGCACAGGGGACTCCTTGTGTGGCCTCCAACTCTATCCTTCAGCTCTCCTGCCTCTTCCCAAAACTTTAAGAATCTCAGCCCTTAGAAGACTGTGACTTCCTTCTCCCAAGCCTCCTGATTTTCCACTCTGAACTACAGTTCTACGTGATGCTGGCAGTGGAGACTTTTTTCTTTGGAACCCTAGGCCATGGCTGTCAGAGCTCACCTCACGCTTCATTGGCAAGGTGAAAGCTGACATACAGACAAGTAAGAAGTCTTGGGTCCGTCACCCCACGAGTGATGGAAAGGGGGTGACTCTGGCTACTCTGATCCCTCTCCACCCTCTCTAGGAGGGTCACGACCTCTGTCCCAGTGAGCAGGGACACACTTAGAGTCCTGGCGATTCAACACTACGTGCCTACAATCCTTGTGGATGAGCTGTACCCATAAGACGCCATCTACTTATCCACTCTGTAGGACAGCAACCTCCTGTGTCACCACTGCTCAGCCTGAAGCAGGGAGGCAAAGACAGCCATTCTCACAGTGCTGGGTTCCAGGGATGTGGCTCAAAATGACATCTTTAGAGGGGAGTGGATTGAGGGGTTCAGAGCTGGCTCCTTTATTAAAAAAAGCCTTACTGGGTGTCAAACACATACCAGCAGTGTTAAATTGCCAAGGCAATGGCAATGACAATGGCAGGCATGGGTCCTCCCCACCTGCAACCTCAAGTGAGAAGGATATTATATAAGGAAGGCTTCATGAGGAGGTGAAGGGAAAACAGATGGCCAGTGTTGAGCTCACTCACCCCTGCTGTAGTGGCAGCTCCTGTTCCCTCCAGCTGTGAGCCACACAGGCATCTTGGCTTGCTCTGTTTCCAGGTTGCCAATGGAAGCTATTTCTTAACACTATCTATGGCAACTGGGAAGGGTTCTGAACACCCCAGCCCAGCCTATAGGGAATGACATATCTTAGGAGCCAACCTCTGATTCACCCTTCCAGTCTGCACTCGGGAATGTGCTGGGGTCACCACCAGTGTCTTGCACCTGGTGGACTGGCAAGCATATGGCTGCAGTTTCTAGAACAGCTGGGAGAGAATGGGGATACTAGAATGTGAAAGGCAGCTTAAGCTGCCTCTGGGAAGATGAAAGCCATCAAGGCTTGGCCTTCCAGCAAGAACATGCAATGGTGTAATGTATATCATTTATGCATTTTAAAGGAGCTGATGTCTCTTGTTGATACCTTCTGGCATTTTCCAGTTAAGCATAGATGATACCCTGTGACAATCAGGTTCCAACCAGCGACAAAAATCTCCACCACGAAGCACAGCACTGGGTTCCACTACCCCATTCCTGTTAGCAACAAAGGCCCTTTGGTGACCCCCGGAGTCAGGGTACACTGCTCTGTCCTGAATTCATGTTGCCATCTGACCCCAGGCTGGATCCTCCCAAGAGTACTGTCTAGGCCTTCTGTCTTCACAGCACACGCACAAACTGACTTGAACCCCAGGGTCTTTTCTGGGAGGAGCTGACTCTCTCCGAGAGCAGTGCCCAGCTCCAAGCCAGCCCCAGAAAGAGGAAGGAAGGTCTTACAATGCTTCCAATGGAAGGAATTGGAGCTTAGGGAACATCACAGACACTCACCTGTCTGGAGATGGCGAGCTGCAGAGCCAGGTAGAAAGCTGCTTGGTGATCTGTAGGTGATAGGCTATGGGCCCTGAAAAGGTATTCACTGCTATTAGAACAGTAGGCCACTTTTGCTTGCCTTATTACAAGTTGTCTTCATGTCTGCATTTTGATGTCAATGCCTCATTTTCTGCTAAATTATGTATCATTTCCTTAACTCTCCTCCCACACCACAAACGAATATTACACATTCTGACCACTACACACACAGACCTATCATTCGAATATGTTTTTGGTTACTGTCCAGTACCTAAAATGGCCATATAGGTTCCCAGACACTGGGAAGGGGCCCAGAAACAGGGAATCCACAGGCCCTGAGGTCTGGCCTGCCCAAAAGATGCTGTTCCTTGGCTGAACTGAAGCCAGTGTCATTTTGGGTCATGATAAAGCCAACTAACAGGCTATGAGCCCCAAAAAAGTATTCATCCCTTTCAAATATAAACCCGGGGCTAGACGATGGCTACTTTGGTTAAGTTTGGTGTGGCCTTAATGCTACTTCATCCAAATTTCTGGGTTTCAGAAAAAAAAAAAATCAAAGACCAGCTTTGCTTATGAAATGAGGTTTGGACTTTTGTGAACTAGGGAAGGGGGGGGGTAAGAACCCATTCATTCTGAGGATTCCACTAATCCCATGCAGCTCACTAATTGTGTTCCTATAACTTGTGTGACAGTGTGGTTGGACACTAGGCTTGGCTCCATTCACTGGCCCTTGTTGCTGGATGCAGAGGCTGTTTTGGCTGTCTAACAGGCTGCAAGTGTAACCTTTTTTCGACTTTATGTGGAAGTTAATGCATTTCATCAGAAGCAATTCAAAATGTAATTGTGTACAAGACCTACTTCTGCTTTTAACAATCTGGTAGGAAGAGAAAAACAAACTTAACTTCCATAAAAGGCAGCCTGGAGCAGACTAATTACAAACTGGGTCCCGGATAGCAAACAAGCACCCTGCTTTGACACCATTCTGTGATCAAAGGAGGGACTTTTACCAGCAGACAGCAAATTCAAGATGAAACAGAAGCTGGATCATTATGGAGTCACCTGTGGCCAACTCACCAAGGGTTTCTAAAGACATAGGTCTTTTAGTTAATTGTCAGACTGCCATGGGAAAAGAAAAAGACATGTAATATGTGAAATCCAGAAAATATGCCAAATCCATGAACTTGGGCACTGTTTGGGTGAATGCTGTATTGTGTTTAGAAAGGGATTTGCCCTTTTCTTAAGTCTTTTAACTTATTTAAAATGGTTATTATTACTTGTGTGTGTACATACATGTGTGTACACATGTGACTGCATATCTGGAGGACAGAAGTATCTATCTGTTCTGTTGTTCTTCATACTTTCTTTTTCCGTTTTTTTTTCCTTCGAGGCCTGGTCTGTCCCTGAACCTGGGGCTCAGAGTTATGACTAGGTTGACTGGCCAGTGAGCCACAGGCCATCCATCTTTCTTCCTCTGCCTCCTCAGCACTGGAATTAAAGACACACATCACCACACCACACTTTTATGTGAGTGCTGGGAATCAAATCAGGCTCTCATGCTTGAGCAGTGAACATTTTACCCATGTACCCCATAGCTCCTTTTGTTAATATTAAGAGCAAAGCAAACTCAGTCCTGGGAAACCTTACTAGCAACCCTGCTACAGCCCCAACCTTTGGGCTTTTCTGCCTTGGGTTTAGGAGACAGCAGCCCTTGAGAGTTCAGTCCTCACTGTATTCTATTGCGCATGGTTTACAAGCCCTGGTTCTCCATGCATTTGTGATGACAGGGTTTGTCTTTGGTGTCCATAAATGAGGTGAAAATGTCACGGTTTTTGTCTTTCCCAATTATCTAGTGAAAATGAGTGTAAAATTGATTATGAAGAAGCATTTTATTATGTAATTTATTTTATCTCATTTTCTTTCAAAACTAAGGCCAGATTTCCACAGCCATCAAAAATAATTTGTCAGAACTATAATTTTTCTCAGCCCAGTTTGTATTTTTCCACAAAGTAAGTAAATCACGGCTGCTTCTATCCAGTGCCAGCGAAGTGAGAGCCGGCAGCTGCTCTGGGATTCTGAGTGTGGACAGTGATTGTTAGGAGCAAAGACCCCACCCTGGTCTCATCAAAGGCTTGTGAGCCACTAACCACAGGCCTGCAAAAGAAACAAACTAGAAGCGCTAGCAATTTTGCCATTTCCAGGGTGCCTTCTGGTGACTTCTAGAGTTTCCATGGAGGCTAGTAATGAAAATCCAACTGCAAATTTCTATTGAGTGCACCTTAAGACATGCTAGTTTTAAGTGCCTTACTTACTTGGAAAATTTTGCTAATGAATTAAACTGACTACTTTAGCAAAAGAAAGGGAGTAGGTGGGAAATGGCAAATAAAACAAGAAAGAGTAAGTGGGGTTCACTCCCTTAGATGCCACACACCTGGCTCCAGTTGTGTGGGACAGTTCAAGTAGCTAAGCTTCCTGGGACAAGGGCCCTTTGATATGCTTACTGTTACTTTGCTCAATGAAAACCAAGTGCCCATAAAGCTGCAAGCCTGAAAATTCCACATGGATAAAAAGCAGCCCCGGGAGCCAGTCTCATGTAGGGAGTGCCTAGCCAGGTGCTAAAAAGAAAGTCAGAGAACTAAAAATGTCATCACAGTGGTGCTTCACAGTGCCTCTTTCGGTAAAGCACCCACACCTTAACGAATTCAATTCTTCTTCTATGACAAAGAGGCTACCCATCTAACCATCCACCCTCCCACTTGCCCACCTATCCATCTACCTACCCACCCATCTACACTCTCTTAACTATCCACTAACCTAGCTAACTCTCCATCTACCTACTCTCCCTTCCACTCACCCACCCACCCATCCATCCACCCACCTATCCATCCACCCATCCACCCACCCATCCATCCATCCATCCACCCATCCA